TAGACACAGACATACAGGTACACACAGATACAAACATCCATTCCCACCCTCATGCTCTCATATCTGACAGGTAAGCTTTACGTAAAGCTTCAGGCGCCAGCAGGACACTGGGCGCTGATGAGGTGGAGCTTCCTGTCGAGCTGCAGGAAGTGCTTATAAATTAATATAGGCCCTAGAAATTTGACCGCAATCGGTGAGGGATTCCCGAAGCGGGTTGATTGACCAGCAAGGTTGGAGGCTTTTAAATTAGTCGAAACGGTAGGATGACTAGTACTAGAGGAAGATGATGCGAAGTTGTGATATGGAAATGGAAATAATGTATCTTGGTATTTGGTGTCTTTATAAATGTGTGAATGTATAAATGAAGTGTAAAATTGTTATTTGGATGAATGATCAAATGTGCACATTGTTTTGAAACTGTGAGAGGAAAGGATGTGACGTGTGTTTGTGTGAGACAATTTTCTTTGAGGAAGCTCAGGGAAAATATATAAATATACGGACAACAGGATTCAATAGGAGGACCCACCACGTCAATTCTCGATGCGAGGGGGGTACCCGGCGTGTCGATAGGTGAAGCAGAGGGAGCCTGACCATGCGTCACACATTTGACGAGTTGGGAGTGAGAACGTGTTGATGTTTTTAATTTTAGAGATACTGCACAAATGTGAGAAAGCAGACCTGTGTGTTTCAATATAAACACTGAATGTCAAAAATGCTTCAGAGATTCCTTGAAGTGTTACTAGAGAAAACTAACAGTAGCTAACTTCCTTTATTTGAAGATTAAATTTCACTCATTTTCAATCATTATAGATGATTACATTTTCTACCATAAAACGTTCATACACATGAGAGAGAGTTGAGCAAAAGGCTTGATTGATCTGAAATGGAATGATGCCAGTGGATGTCTTGGATTTTTGTTATTATGCCCATGAATATGTGAGATGTGGAACAGACTCATAGACCAGTTGGATTCAATGCTTGAAATTTTAATGATGTAGGTGAAAAAGAAAAGTTCATTTTGGAAAATAAAGATTTACTCAGGGTCTTCTTTCTGTGAGGCACCACACAGAGCCACTGCACTGCACCACATACTTATTTGTACTGAGGGACACATTTATTTGTATGATACCAAAACCACAGTGACTGTAGACTATACTTTCACAACATATATAAATACCTAAATATATAAATAGTATTTGATATTTACATTGACATATATATTCTAAATGAATGAAATACCACAATTTCTTATGTAATATGGTAAGAAAGATACATTAAATACACTGGTTGTTAAAGTTCAAAATAATAGCAAGTATTTGACACACCAAACAAGCCCCCAACATCAACATCATACTTCTCTAGGTACTGTAGGCAGTGCTCTCTGTGCCTATAGTTGTTAGGGTCTCCACAAAGTATGTAAATCTGAAAGGAGTTCCATCGATCCAAAGCCAATGATATATGAGATAAGATAAACCTTTATTAGTCTCTTATCTTGGAAATATTTTGGCCATGGCCTAAAGTACAAGTTAAGACCAGTAAAAATTAAGGAAAAAATATTTTAGCATATTGGTAATATGTATAACTTCCTCAGATATTTTCTGTCAGGCCAGTGGAGTGTGAACAGAGTGTGCCAGACTTAGATACCAAGTAGAAAACAAAAGACTGAGAATTGGCAGCTAATATTAATAGGTTAGGGAGCGAGGTATTTTTTCTTTCTCTGTTTTGAAAAGAAGGAGATGTGAGACGAGGTCAGACGTGGATGAAGTGCTGGAGAAGATCCAGTCAGGGACGGCAGGACTGGCCACGTTGTTTCCCAGTGGAAGATATTCATAATAACACTTGTTTTTGCTGTGGTATACAACTGTATTGGCCACTTACTGCTGAAGTGTCTGAGCTGAGTCTGTGCTCATTCATGGAGACTTTTTACTTCTGCACCCAAATCCAGGAGACACGAAAACTCAGAATTCATATAAGATGAAAAATAATAATTTGATGTCACTTTTTTCTTACCTTTTGTATAGTTATGTTCACAGGACTGAAATCTGCTTACAGTAAACAGTCAATTTGAAAGAAATGTATTTTTTTCCAATTATCTGCAGATTACGATGTAGATGCAGTGAATAATTTTGTTCATATGAACAGAATGAAAACAGTGACCTGCTTACATTTCTTTTCAGAAAAGTGTTTTAGCCTACATTTCTCAGTCATTCAATCAATGAATCAATCAATCTTTATTAGCAGACTTTATGTCCACAGTCTAAAATCAACAACAAGAAAACATAAAATATTTGTAATGATATAAAACCATTATATACATAAAATACACAATTACTTAAAAGAAAACAATGAATACACAAACACCTCAACCAGTGCTTCCTCAGATTGGATGAGTAACAGGAACCGCTCACTGTCTCTGTAGGTGCTAAAATTAGACCGTTAGAGCCATAAATGTGAACATTAAATTTCTTAAAAGTCCTTTAAAAGTCCAAACACCCACAGCTACAAACATCTGACTGGCACTACCTCCTCTAAGTTTTCTACGAAGGACTCTCATCGCATCATTACATTCAACATGCAGCTTCTACAATGTTTTTAAGATGACCACAAGGGGGCAGTATATAACGGGGTGCAATACCCTTCAAACAAAGCCAGTTTAACTGGAAGTGAACAAAAGCTGATTTGCAATAGTATTTGCCTGCACATAGAGCTTACATCGTTGTCTGTATATGTCATCATCATCATTAGTTTGATCAATAATAAATATTTCACCTTTTTATGAACCTCAAGAGTTTTTTGGGACAGTTTAAACACAGAGAAATGTAGCTGTTCATCGTGTTTGGTTCTACATATCAAGACTGAACTTTCAACAGCATTTTACTTTATATCATATAGCACACCATATTCAGTACAGATATTAAGAAGCTGCTGTAATCCAGCACTGCTTGGACTAAAAACAACCATGATAAGATGATTTATCAATGTTTAATCTAATACACACCCAGCTGTACGGAGCGCCACGTCACTATTCAAGTGTTTGTATGTGTCAGTGTTTTATTGTTGACTTTGATGTTTTAATCTCTTCAAAATGAAAAAATAAAATTCTATTGTCTTGTTAAATAATAAGGAAGAAATCAGTAGATCTTAAAATGTTCTGGCATGTTGTTCAGTGCATGAGTTGACATTGTGAATGATTAGATAAACCTGAAACTTGAACTTTGTAGGTGTCGTGTTGATCAGACTGAAACAGAAAGTACTTTTAACTGCTGACCGTGTTTATTAACCTCTTAAGCCCCAAGACTACCTGATCTCCTGCTTTTTGCCCCCGTATCAGGGGGCGTTGGGGCTTAAGAGGTTAAATGTGTTCACTGGAATTGTGAGCTTGTACATTTATTTATTTCACAGACTTTATCTTCATTTATAGACACACATGTCATACAGAAACTGTCACACTTTTGTCACTTTGTTTTATGTCTCCCACCTACGGAATGAGCAGATAAGAAAGGAATGTGGTTGCTAAGGAGATGTTGCTATGGACACTGCTGTCACACAGGTGCAGGGTGTGGGCCTGTAGAAAACAGGATGACACGGAAATACAGGTTAGTTTGATTTGTGGCTGTGCGGTACAGACGGCGCTTTACACACAGATTTTACTTTTTATTTTTCTCCTTATTTTTGTAACTTTTTACTTGTTTTTCATCGAACTTATCCTGGTGCCCTTTGATTTACAGGAAAGCAATCGGGTATAGCAAAGCTACACTTTCCAGATTTTAGTGGATTTTATGTTTTTGATTTTTTTATCACGATGGTCAGACGACTCTTTGAGGATTTTGGAGATCTCTTCAGAACAACAGTAACAGTAAGTGTTGACACCTTTCAGTTTTTTAGCTCAACAAACTGACACTGTACAGGAAGTGTTGCAGCACACACACACACAAACTCTCTGAAGACTATTTGCTGCTGTTCGTCTTTTCCATGTTTTCTCTGTGTGTGTTTCTGCTGCTTCTTTGTCCTCACTGTAAACAGATGTACTGAGAGACTCCTGCACTGATGTTTCATAGGAAAGTCCAAACAGCCTCACTGGTTCTCCATAAAGAACAAAGATTTGCTCTCTGTGGCTCCAACACAACTTAAAGACAATCAAAGGTGGACAAAGTTCTCCAGAATAGCTGTGGTTTGATGGAGGCTACAGCTAAATGCTGCCTCTACTACTTTTTAGTAGAGTCAACACTTATTTTGACATCACTTCCTTATGAGAAAAAATGGTGGGTCAGAGCTGAGGAGTTCCAGGCTGGTTTACACATAACAATGTTTCCCTGAGAATCATTTTCATATTGAGTCAGTAGTTCTGTCTGTGTTGGCCACACAAGTCAGAGTAATCCAGACAGAGAAGTGTAATGTGTGTGTCAGTGTGATGTGTTGTAGTTTCAGGAGTCAGTATACAGCTACAAAGCTTTTAGTTCAGTGTATACAAACAGCTGTAGCTCCATAAAGGCAGCAGAGACTCACAGTGTCTTATAATGAGAGGCTGCTTTCTCTCACACATTATGTTCACTTATTATCAGCACATGTTGTTGTTCTGTGGAACCTGCAGGAACCAGATTTAATAACTAAACTGTAGAAGATGAAAACAACCCTCACTGTTAACCTGCCTCCATCTCATTTACACATGTATTCTTAACTGTGTTCAATGAAACTCATTCCACATGTTCACATATACAAAAACAGGGGAGAAAAAACCCCCCACATATGGGCTTGAGAGAATTATTTTTCTTAAAACACATATTAAAGTCCAGTCCTATACACTAACTTCTTAATAAAGCTGCTGTAGAAGAAGGTTCTGTAGAAATCAAGTTATAAATCTCCACTGTGACAATGGGCCAAGGTTTCAGATCATTCATACACACTGTACTGTTTATACAGCCAGATACATGCAGCCTGGGTGGGGTGATTTTGAGGACCCAAAATGCAGACAAGAAATACAGGCAGTAGTTTAAAAATAGGTAATTTATTTGGCTGTGGAAAAAGCTAGGAAAATGAGATGCAAACAAAGACTGCGTGACAGGAGGGAATGTGAGACTAAACACAAACCAGATAAAAATCTATGCACGGGAGATAAGAAGATATCAAAATAAATATACAGAAAGTGAGAAACAATAACTGAACGGGGAAACATAGAAACAGGAATGAACTTAAATATCAACAAATAACAAGAGAAACAAACACAGGGAACAACTAATGCAACCAGGAACTAACAACTCGAGGCTAAATACAGTAAGGCAGCCATTAAGAGTGCTGTGGTCCACTTAAAAACCAGAAAATGACTTAATTCTTCACTTGAATCAATAACAAAAGAAAGTGGCAACGATATTAAAACTGTATTAAAACATCAACAACACAGGCTGCTGGCTCTAAATTGCTGCTCAGTCATATGCAAAGTGTTAATGCCAATGTGTGACCAACCTGCCGCTGGGACACAAATTTCAATATAAGGGCAGTAAATCTGGTCCAGGGTAATGAGTAATATTACACACTAACCACCTCCTATTACCAATTCACTAAATCCATTTACACAGGTGAGTAAAACTGAATTTTGTTACTACTGTGGCTCACCTGCAGTAGCTTCACAGTCCACCAGGGGTCGTTGGCCCACACTTTGGGAATAAAGCAATAAGGAAATACAAGGAGAAGCAAATATAAACACTAAGCAAGTTATGAATGAAAAGGAAAATGTTTAAAATAAAAAAAAAAACTGTAAGTCAACTAAGAAACATTGATCAAAGCTCCAATACCATGACGATGGTGAGGGTCATGATGGGCTGGCAGAGCAACAGTCTCTCTCTTTCCATAAAAGACTCGAACAGACAGCTGCAAAAGCAAAGAGACAACGTTTTGAGCACACACTGAAGGAAAACAACATGTGCTGACATATAGCTTAAAATCATACGACTGACATATAAATTATAAAAATCTAACATCATGTGAATAAACTACAATGCACTGGAATATTTGTACTGTGGCCCAGAGAGGCCACTGCAACCAAGGAAAACATCAACAAATATAAGAGATGCTGAAAAACCACACAAAACACAACAGAAACATAAGAAACCCCAAACAAACTAAACAAAAAATGCAAAAGCAAACTATTTTTAAATCATGAAACAACACACAAGAGTTTCTAGGGAGATACAGTAAAGGGCTAATCATGTATTTACTGTATTTCAATATTTGCCTGGGATGAATCAGGAGAAGCAGCCCAATCCAAACTACCAAAGATAACTCAGTTTGACACATAACATGTTTGCACCAACAAGCTGATTCACTTAATCAGTGGAAAACCTGGTGGTGTGCAGTGTGTTATAAAAAAAACATAGAGTAGGCTGGACAGCAGCAACGGTAGGCATAATCTGAAAGCTATGAAAATCCACCAATGATCCTAGCTCTTGCTTTATGTGCTCACTGTGTTTGAGATTAAATCTAAATTACCAAGTTCCCAGATGGAATTTGAATCTGGAATGTTCCCTTCTCAAATCAGATTTCCAAGTTAAAGAGTGAGAACAGCCACACTTTTCCCAACTTAACACTAAGAGGGAGGCAGTGAATGTGGTCCACCAGGCTTGATCCATGAATGTGTTTTAAAACAAGTATTGTGCTGTGTTATTAGCAGTGTTGGTCAAGTTACTTGAAAATACTAATTCATTACTAATTACTGATTACTTTTCCAAAAAGGTAAATCATTTTACTTTACCTATTAGTTACTTTTAAATGGAATTAGTTACTTTTTAAAACATGATACACAACCTGAATAGGTAACAAAGCAGCTGTAGACCTTTCAGCCCAATCCTATGTTGTCTACATAATCCATCATATAAAATGTTATCAATTGAAAAAGTCTCTTTTTAAAACTTGTTTTATTAGTTTTAGCCTCTTAACATTATGCACACTGCGTCAAGTTTAACATTTAAACCTATTGTCTGTCTGCATATTCCAGCATATAAAATAAACGTGTGTGTGTGTTTACACTAACTCTTTCAAATAATTCAGTTAAAACACAGCATAAAATAAATGCAATCAGCAGGATGGAGTCCTGACGCTCTTAAATCTATTTCCAAATGTTTAGCAGGAGTTGGGCGGGAGTGGAGGGGAGGTTTGCCCTGGTGCAGGTGTGCCACATCTGGGTGTTTCTCTGTGAATTTCATATTCCCGTGGCAGCGTGCTATAGAGGCTTGCTTCAATTTGAAGTTAATTTTTTTTTACCATAAAGAGAAGTTTTCTTCTCACGCAGAGTGAGAGAGTGAGAGAGTCTCAGCAGACGCTAATGTTTTTGTCACTTTTTACGGAATCAAACTTCAGAGTTTACTTCCAAGCTTTAACCGCTGCATGGTCATACTACATTATCAATTGTTTTTGTCGCACGCTCGTACGTCATTGTCATGAGACATAATACAAACCAGGATCCAATGCACTGCTGATCATCATCGTCCTATGTTAATAATGCATTACATGGATTTAAAAAAAACAAAAACAAAAAACATCGAGTGTGTTTATAAAACCCGACTTACAGTTCAGCTGCTCTCTTGTGATCGGTGTATGACAGGTTAATATTATGGTTGTATTATGAAACCAACGAAGGTTCCTTGTAGCTACAACATCCGATGTTTTCTCACTGTTATCTATCAAACTTCAACTGTTTCTTTAATGAAGGAGACTTCCGCTGGTTTCTTGTGATTGGCGGTACGATTAAACGAGGCGTCACAATCGTTATGCCAAAAAAATCTGTAGTTTCTAACAATCCTGCGTAGACACCTCTCACCTCAACATTTAGCCCAACCGTTCAACCACAAAATCAATGAGTTTCATCGAGTTACCATTGTTAGTTACAGTGTTACGGCTTTGGGAGCGCAAACTATTTCCTGAGTAAAAAAAGACCTTTGAAATGCTGCAAGCCAGTGCTGATTGGTCAAGATGCGTCATTAACTGTGACGTAGGGTCATCTTCGCTCAGTGGCTGGAAGAATTCGGGGATGACCGAAGTGTGATGTTGCGTTCCCGTTACCTTGAAAATTGTGGCACTACCGTTAGTTGGAGACACAGAAGGATTTGTTTTTGTTCGTAGCAAAGCGGAGTTGTTCGTTCATTGCTAACAATACAACCCACTGCCCGTTCATTACAGTTAAAAGCTTGTTCACAGACAGCCTGGTCAAGGCGCCTAGCATGAGTTATTCACCGAGACATATCAATAGTCATTGTACATATCATGAGTTGTACAGTGTTATGCTGTTTATATGCACTGCTGCAGCCCGGGATTGGAAAATCGGGGTTTGTTAGATTTCTCTCAATGTCACTATCGGAGGGGTCGAGCTGAACTCGCGATTTCCGACTCTGTCTGTTGCGTTCCGAAAAGACAGTGAATTGGTCACGGCAAGGGGAGTGGGTGGAGAAGTAGTTCTGACTTCGAACCACGTTTAAAGATTAAGTAATTAATGTTAATTAATGTAATCCAGGCTTTAAACTTAGATTCCGAAATACATCGAAAGTACCAATCCTCTAACATTTAGAACAAGCTAACATCATCAGAAGTTAAACATACGGAAATGGCAGCTGGAACGTCTGCGTCACTCTGGTGGTTGATCTTTGTCTTCGCGTCGGTCTCTGCAGGTGAGATTTAACCGTTAGAAACCAAACTACGATGCCCGCCGAGCTGAAGAAGATTAAAAAGCATTGACCTGGTTAATTTCCCAAATAAGTATTTTCATAGTTATTCTGTGTGTTCGCGCATGAATTCAACACGAGGCTGGGTGGAGTCTCCTTCACTTGAGATCCACTCACGGTAGAGTGAGTGTTACACGATATAACACTGTGTGGGAGAGTTTTCGTGGGGTTTCAACTTTTCTTTATCCCAGAAACCACCGCTATTTGAGAAGTTGAGAGTGTAAACCGTGGCTAGCAAGGTGCTGTTCTTGTAGTGCTTATTAAAAAATACTACACCAACCACTTCCCATGTGTGAGCAACCACTCCAAATTGTCCACCATCAGTCACCATTAGTCTTATTTATGTGCTAAACCTACTGCAGTGCCCCCGTGTCTTTATATTTACATTATAATCCATATCAATAAGCAAAAAAAAGGAGAAGTGGTAAACATTCAGTGGATCACATTTTGCAGGCTGTGAAAATTATGGTTCTACAGTTTGTTGGACTCCTAGGCCCACAAATTCACAGAGAGCTCTCCAATCAGCAATCAACTATAATATGTCATAAATAATCAGACACCAACAAAAACTTTGCAAAGTGTAAACATTTTTTCCACTTCAAAAGTTAACAAGTCTACAAGCCAGTGTACTAATGCTTAATCCCAATCCCACATCAAAGAGGATGAGTAGCAGGAAGTCAGGGCAGCTATGACAACGATGAAGAGAGGAAGGGCTGTTGGTACAAACAGCATGTGGAAGTGTGGCGATCACCAGCAGAGAGTGCAGTGGACTGTTGAACCAGATTGTTTAACACAATCTGGAAAAGTGGATGCCTGAGGAATGAAGAAGTGTGTGACATGTACTGGTCCTGATTTTCAAGAACAAAGGTGATGTGTAGAGCTGTAGAGGCTAGACAGGGCTGATAAGCCAGACCATGAAGCTATGGGACATGATTGTTGCATGACAGGGTTGTTGAATGTAAGAAGAGAGGTGTGGCATCATGCCAAGAAAGGGCATTACAAACGTGATGTTTGCTTGTAAAATGTTGATGGAGAAGTTTAGAGAAGGTCAGAAGAAGCTTCACTGAGTCCTCGTAGCAAAAGCACATGATAGGGTGCAAAGAGAGGAACTGTGGTACTGCATAGTCTGTGTGGCAGAAAAGTATGTGAGGATGGTGGAGTACATGTATAGGAACAAAAAGCTGGTGGTAAGGTCTGTAGTAGAAGTTACACATGAGTTGAAGTTGGTGGTGGGATTATATCAGGGATCTGCTCCGAGCCCCTTCTTGTTTGCAGTGATGATGGAAACGTTGACTGATGAGGTGCAGACAATTTTGTGATAACACCAGTTATCTCAAGGCATTTTATATTGTCAGGTAAACACCCTACAAAAATACAGAGAAAACCCTCTTTTGCAGTAGAAATGTGACAGAATTGATGTGTGAATAAGAGGGAGAAATGAGTAGAGCACTGCTTTACCCTATAAACTGCCTCACAGTTTGCTAGAATCGCTTCAAGGCAGATGCAAACTCCTCCCTCACCTGAGCTTTCCCTTCAGCCATTGGCCAAGCGGCGTTCCACGTAGCCTGCTGGTTCCAGAGTCCCACAGGCTAACCAAGCCCAATAGGACTCCTTCAGCTTAATGGCTCCCTTCATCTGTGGTAACCCTCAAACCTCAATCTTGTGCGTGGGTTACCACCATTACAGACACCAACCATCTTGCAGTTATAGTTTACTCCAGCAGCCTCTATGGTTCCAACAATTAAAGCAAGTCAACCTTGAAGCAGCACAGCATCCCCAACCCATAACACTACCACCTTGTTTGACTCTTGATATGATGTTCTTTTTATGAAATTATGTTAGTTTCTCAAATGGATCATCAAGATGGTTTTTTTGCCAAACGTGAGATGAGCCTTTGTTTTTTGGACAGGAGTGCTTTTCTTCCATGTATGCCGTTTTTTTCCCCAGTCTCTTTCTTATTACTGATTGACAAACTCTGAACGAAGGCAAGTGAGGCCTGCAGTTTATAAAGTGTTTGTGTGGTTTGTTTTGTTTTTTAACTTCCTGGATGAGTTGTCGTTGGTGTAAGAGCCTAACTTGATGTTTTTGCCTTTT